TTATTCAAGTCATGGAGCAGAGGCTTCTGATTTTAAATACATCTACTTATTCTCTAAGTGCCTTTGATAGAAAAAATAACATTAGATTTCTGCCTCAGAATCTTTCAAGAATATTTAAATGGCTGAAGCTCTGACTGCTTTAGTGCTAGTTGTTGTAATTTGTCTCCCTTAAAGTGAGCTAAATAACCAGACAACAGAAGAAAAGAAAGCTCAGGCATCCACCAGGTAGGATACAGGTGGAAAGAGAGAAAGTTTTTTATTTTTGTTTTTTCTAATTCCACAAAGAGTAAGAGTATAAAATAGTAAGAGTATAAAACATTTAGGGGAATCAGCAGAGCAATATTGAAAAGAGAGAAAAGGATCTGAAATCTAAAGAGAACATATTTCCCAGATTATAGGGAAAGGAATATGCTTAATTAGACAAAGAATAAATATTTTTATTGCTGAAATAAATATTAATCCTGGATAAAAAATACAGTAGATTTTAGGAATTTGGGGAGAATGATTGAGAATTGAGTTTTAAACTATTCTTTTAATTTACAGTAACTATATGTATTTAAAAATACATGCAAATGTGACTGATATGCACATACAGGTGCCTAAAACTGTATCTTAAATTTACTGTTTGAAATATAATTACAAAATACTACTTATAATGATGACCTTACAATTAATTCCTCTTATAGTTTTAAATATATACTTCAAAGTTGAAACAGGAATTTCTATTAGTTTCAGAATGATGAGTTCCCAGGATCACAGCCCAAGAGATGGTCCGTAGTCTAATTTATGGCCATGAGGGTCCCTGAGCAATCTCTGGTGCACCCCTAGCATGTTAAAGAGTATGGCTATCAAGAAAGGTAGACCTGGAAATCTTTGGGAAAGTTTGGGCCCATGATACATCTATTTATGAAAAGTTTATAATAGTTTAACCTTTTTAGTTTAAGAATCTATGTCATGTTACCATGTTAGTTCCACCTACACAAATTAATTATACTGGACGGTTAATAAAATTGTCTTCAAGCTCTATCTTTTTCCGAACTGTTAAATTGATGGAAAATGATGGTATTAGGGATTTTAAATCAGATTTTTAGGGGTGTTTGGGTGGTGCAGTGGGTTAAGCATCAGACTCTTGCTTTTGGCTCAGGTGGTGATCTCAATGGTTTGAGATCAAGCCCTGCCTTGGGTTCCACACTCAGCATTGAGTCTGCTTGGGATTCTCTCTCCCTCTGCCTCTGCCCCTCCTGCTCATGCTCTCTCTCAAATAAATACATAAACCCTTTAAAAAAAACCTTAGTTTTTAATTTCAAATTTCATGTAGTTATGTCTAGATACTTATTGAAAGTAAGTCTATTACTTTTGTATGTTCACTTCTTGATTTTGAAATTATATTAAAATGTATAAATGGGCAGAGTTATAATTTTTTTGTTTTTCTCAATTCAGATATTGTAAAAATGCTTCACTGTTCATGTCCTCACGTTATTAATTAGTGTTTCACTGAAAGCATCATGTGCTATCAATCTTTAGTAGTCTGATTTACAGAAGCATCCTCCTATTGTTGACTATGTTAGATATTTCTAAATTTTCACTATTATAAATGACATCATCTCCCATTATGAAAATTACACCACCCTATTTCACTTTTAGAATAATTTTTAGGGTGGAAGTTACTATTATGAGGAATATAAACATGTTTATCATTCTGGAAATACTTGCAAAAATATTTTTCAAATGATTACATGAATGAAGCAGTTTCACTGCAATTTTAGAATTAATATATTTTCTAAAACCATGATGTTAAAAAACATATATTTTATCTTATGATGGATTAAAATTTCCAGCTTACTTTGTGTGTATAGATGCTGCTTAAAAATAATGCTGATATTAATATTTTACATTTTCCTTTTGAATTATACATTAAAAACCTTCATAATAACTGTCTTATCGGTTGTGGACCAGCAGCTTGAACAAGTGTTATTATATCTATTTTATGGGAGAGGATGCTGAGGCTTAGTGGTTTCTTCAAAGATACAAGCCTAGTAAGCAATGAAGCTGTAATTGCCAACTTTTTGACAGCAGAAACTGATATAATGAAATATTATATTATTTTTAATTAACTTCATATTTTGGAGTAATTTTAGATTGACAGAGAAGGTGAACAGATAGTATAGAGAGTTCTTATAATCCCCTCACTTAGTTTTCCCGAATATTATCATTATATTTTATCATAAGTCAAAACTATGAAATGAACATTAATATATTACTCTTAATGAAACATCAGATTTTATTCATATTTCACTGATTTTTCCACTACAGTCCTTCTAATGTTCTAGAATCCAATTCACTAAGACACATTGTAGTTGGGAAAACTATCTTTTAAATGACTTAAAGTCAAAAACCTCATGATCATAAACTATGAAGACAGTGCACTCTACATTGTCAAAGTTTTAACACTGTGGAAATTCCTTTTATATGAAAAAAAAGTTGATTTAATTTTATATATAAGAAACATTTTAATTTTAAAATGGTATTACTCTTAGAAACTCCTAGGTAAGGGAAGTGGAGAGCCTAAGAATTCTGTAATTATTAGATTAATTTAAAGCATTCCCTTCTATCTCCTTACCCAAATTTGTTTTTTCTTTGTACAATGAAGCAATCTGAAAAAGCAATGGGCACAACAATTTATTCACGGATTATTAAAGTTATTTAAAAGTGTTGTACACTTAATGCCATATCTGCACTAACTAAAAAAATTACCTTTGTGAATAAAAAGATACTTATCAGCCTTGGTTGTGGTAAAGAAGGTATTAGGAGTAATTGGGTCTGGGGGCTTGTTTTCACTATTTATTGTGAATTTCTCCTGTGATTCTAACTGCATAACTGTTTTTATGTCTCTTGCTTTATCTGATTATCACAAGAACCCTACTAATAGGCATTTTTTTTTATACTCAGTGGCAGAAGTAGAATCAGAAGCTTGAGAATTTTAGGTGACTCTTTCTAGCACATAATATAACTAAGTAGAAAGACCTGATCTGTGTGAATCTGAAACTGGTTTTCTTCCTCATTTCTTTCTTGCTTTGATCCTAGGATAAACTGATCACTGCTGGATCATATATTCTTAACTTTTAAACAACCTTATAGGGTTGTTTGATACTCTTGTTTTCTTGGTGACAACTTGTAGCCAGATATAAAGTTCACAGGGACTGTTTAGTAATGTCTAGTACCTTGGAAACATAATGGAAATGGTTAAAGTAAGAGACAATAAATATTAGCACACATGGTTGTATATTTGTTAGTTTTTTTAGCACTGTAAACTGTTTTGATTAGCTCTAAGTGGTGTTCATAAAAATCAGCTTATTTTTAATTTTCCCAGTAAGCCCCATTATTCTTTTATTCACTTGTTTAATTAGCATGGGTTATATGTATACATACACACATTTGTTATTGGATGAATGAATTTCTTCTATATGTGCGGGGGGGGGGACATAATCATTCTTAGGAGCTGTGTCTTGTTATGGAAAATGAAGTCAAAAGTTGAAGTAATTATCTGGATGACTCATGGAAAAGCTTTCTGTGGGTGAGATGTCTAGAATTTTAAGTGAGAGAATTGTAACTACAATTGGTAAAGTCTTCTTATCCTAAGCAACATTTTCACATTTTCCAATTTGACCCACATCACAATCCTATGAGATGAGCAGGTTGGCTATGTATGAGTATCCCTATTTACCATAAAGTCATATTCATTAGAAGCAGATATCCCTTGGTAAGTTGTGCTTAATCAGATTGGGCAACTGTATATAATTAATTAACACGTAATTAATAACACCCCAGGACTCTGGCAATATTCACCATACTGTTGCAGTTCATTACTTGTGTGATTGTTGCCAATTTGAATCTGTAAGTAATTGGGTCATTACCTTCTGATTCTTTACTCATTTGTTTGTGTTCTTCATCAAAGGGCCTCATTTAAACACTAACATGGGGGTCAGAAGGTTCGAACCTATATAGGTGGAAAGAGAATTGAAAGGCCACTCTGCTCTGCATTCTTTCTAGAAAAAGAAAGTTCTTGTTCCTTTCTGTTGACACAGTGGGAAGGACTTGAGTGTTAGAGCCCGAGTTTCTATTAAAATCTCAGATCTAGCATCTGTTGTTAACCTTATCTTTGTATGCACAAATGTCCTACCAGTAAAATAGGGATAAGACCTAACATGGATTGTTTCTTGGGCCCTAGGCTCTGAACAATTGTTTTTCTTGTTTATTTGACTTAGCCATCATGGTAACATTCTGATACAGGTATTTTTTCTAAACTTCGGTTCTTATTTTAAAATGATGAATGAAAAAAAACCTCAAAAAATAAAACCCAACTCAACACATGCATATTTGTTCTATGCTCACAAGGAGTTTTCCCACGTATCTTTCTCTTTTATAAGGAATGAATGAACTCATCTTAAAGGCCAGGTTCATTTCAGATGTTTAAAGAAATATTTGGGGAGTAGCCATGATTTGCAAGTGCCTATTAACCTGAATGTTATTTCTTCTTCTGTTTGCAGATTTGTCAGACTCCTAGCAGGGATGGCATGCAAGACCCCCCTGATTCCATTCGGTGCTCACGGTGGACATAATGATGCCATTGTCACACTCCTTTCCTCAGAACCCTTCTCAATAATATAGTCCAGGAAGCCACTGCTAAGCGACCAGAGTTGGCAATTGAGATAAACTATTTCTCCACACGTGGATAGCTCCATTCCCCCTTATTGGAGCTCTGGCTATTTTTCAAGTGTTTAATAATACTTTTTCTCCTCATCAATTCTGCTAGCCTCCCACTACCACCTTCAACAAATTTTGAATTTTGTGTTGTTAGTGACGCCAGAAACACAGAAGATAATTTTTCACATGGACATACCAACTTCTTAATGACTACTGTATCACTTTACACTGGTCTGAGACAAATTTTTCTTTCTTATAACTGTAGAATCTACATGTTCCTTCTGGCAGCTTTGAGCTTTTCCTTGGAAATCATGCAAAACCAAAGCTTTGTAACTGAGTTTGTTCTCCTGGGGCTTTCACAGAATCCTAATGTTCAGAAAATAGTATTTGTTGTGTTTTTGTTTGGCTACATTGCAACTGTTGGGGGCAACTTGCTAATTGTGGTGACCATCAGCAGCAGCCCAGCACTCTTGGGGTCTCCTATGTACTTCTTCTTGGCTTTTCTGTCCTTCCTGGATGCTTGCTTCTCCACTGTCATTGCCCCCAAGATGATTGTGGACTCCTTCTATGAGAGGAAAACAATCTCTTTTGGAGGTTGTATGACTCAACTCTTTGCTGAGCACTTCTTTGCTGGGGTTGAAGTGATTGTCCTCACAGCCATGGCCTATGACCGCTATGTGGCCATCTGTAAACCCTTACACTACACAACTATCATGAACTGGAGGCTCTGTAGCATTCTGATGGGCATAGCCTGGATGGGGGGTTTTCTGCATTCCATGATACAAATTCTCTTTACTTTCCAGCTGCCTTTCTGTGGCCCCAATATCATTGATCACTTCATGTGTGATTTGTACCCATTACTGGAGCTTGCCTGCACTGACACTCACATCTTTGGCCTTTTAGTGGTCGCCAACAGTGGGTCTATCTGCATCATAATCTTCTCTTTGTTGCTTGTCTCATATGTTGTCATCTTGCTCTCTCTGAGAACCCACAGTCCTGAGGGGCAGCGGAAAGCTCTCTCCACCTGCGGATCTCACATTGCTATTGTGGTTTTGTTCTTTGTCCCCTGCATATTTGTGTATGCACGACCTCCATCTGCTTTCTCCTTTGACAAAATGGTGGCTATATTTTATACCATTCTAACTCCTTTACTCAATCCTTTGATTTACACTTTCAGGAATAAGGAAATGAAAAATGCCATAAAGAAAGTGTGGAGCAGAGTAATGATGGTTTGTAGTGATAAATAAGACATTAAAGTTTAAAAAAATTGTAAAGAGTAAAAAAGCCAAATTTTCTAGACAAGACCTTTGTGTGTTCGGGCCTCTTTGATAGGAGCTAATATAATGCCAGAAAAAAAAGCAGTAATATGGGGCTAGGAAAAATATTTTCACACTTATATCACTTTATCAACTCTGATTTCATAACTCAGTACTTTCACAGTAAATTAAAAAGAGTTGGATATTATCCTTAATTAAATTTAAAAATAAAAAAAAGTTCCAAAAGAGAAATTACACACCAGACCTTTTGCCACTCATTCCATGCTTTGGTAAACCTTTGTGGAGGAATGACAAAAATATCTTAAGGATTTGAAACAGAGACTTAAACTATTTCAAGTGAAAAGAAGCTTATACATAGGGCACTGTTCTCCATGACTGATGAAGACAACTGGCAGGACTCAGGAGTGGAAGAGCTCAGAGCATTCTCAGAACATGAGCTATAGGTATCCCTATACCATAACACCATGTTCTGAAAAGCAGCAGCTCACACCTTGAATTTCATGACCCCACTTTCCCATGTATTCTTTTTTTCCCCTATCTATTCTTTATTTACTTTTCTTGGAAAGAAGTTATTACTTTCTGACATGCTTATATAATCTATTTACATTTATTTATTTATTTATTTATTTATTTATTTATTTATTTATTTATTTATATCAGTGTCCTCTCAAGGACTATAAGCTAGCTCTGGGTGAGGTAGGGAATTTTTATTTCTCTTTTTGGTTCATGATGTAACATTAGTGTCTAGAAGAGCCCGATGTAAGAGTTCAATAAATCTGTTGAATAAGTGAATAAATGAGATATCATCACATATTCACATTTATATCTATCTTTAACATTAACACATTAAAGTGTCAAGTTGAGCAAAAGAATGTACTTATTGCTGTTATTAGATCTTGATGATAATGATAATTCTTGACATACACAGAATATTTAAAATGAATTCTACATTCTTGTGAATTTCCCCATATCTAAAATCTTATATATATATATATTTTTAATTTTTATTTATTTATGATAGGCACACAGTGAGAGAGAGAGAGAGGCAGAGACACAGGCAGAGGGAGAAGCAGGCTCCATGCACCGGGAGCCCGACGTGGGATTCGATCCCGGGTCTCCAGGACCGCGCCCTGGGCCAAAGGCAGGCGCCAAACCACTGCGCCACCCAGGGATCCCCCCATATCTAAAATCTAAATATAATATATAAGTATTCAAATAGAAAATAAAGCCATTGTTCTTTATGCACTTTTTTATTACTCACTCTTTATTCCTGCAAGAGCAAGTCTTTCTCTCAGTGATCTGACTTTTATTTGTAAAGTATTTCTGATCCCAATAAAATCACCTATTGCCTCAAATTTGCATTTTATTAGTTGGGTTTATCTAGCCAGAGTTTCTGAATTATTTGTTGGAAAACTTACCTTAGTTTAGTAAGACACAAATTTAAATGAGCAGTGTTTAAATCAGGACCCTGATTCATCCTAAGATGAAAACAGAGGTAGCTCAAACTAGTACAAACTTCAGTTGGTATTTGTTCTATTTCCACAGTTTTGTGATGGAATGAACATAGTCAAGTGCATTCAGCAAATCTTGGCATTGCTTTGACAGAACTGGAACCCAGATATCATCCAGTCCTTAGGTCTACAAGAAAGTTAATGAGCACTAAGGGTCAGTTGACTTAGATATTGAAGAATCCTCAAGAGATCATTGACTTAGCTTCCTTCCTCTGGCCACTTCAGGATCTCCTTGGCAACTACCCTCTGCAAAATTTTCCCACCAGAACTGGAGAGCTTAATCATTCCTTCAAATATAAGGAATCCATTTAGGGCTTTTTAACTGGGAAGTTTAATGCAGGGGCTCATTCAACGGCTGTTCTTGTTTCCCAGTCCAAGAAATCTTATGACATTACTGTGCATATCATATGAACATAAGAGGGGTTTAGACTCATACTTAAGAGACGTGGATTCTAGGCTCAGTTCTGTTACTAATTAGCTGTGTGACCTTCGTGAGTTATTTTACTTCTCTGGTTCTCAATTCCTCATGTGTAAGTAGGATTAATAAAAACATATGAATATTTCTTCTGTGCTTTTTCTGAGCCAGGGATTCATTCTTTTTTCCTAAGTTTTATATTTTAAGGTTTACAGAAAATTTAAAAGGTAGGTCTTCATATTCCCATTTAATTGATGAGGAAGCTGGGAATCTAAGACTTTAAGTGACACACTGAAAACTTTTTTCAGGGGATCCCTGGGTGGCGCAGCGGTTTGGCGCCTGCCTTTGGCCCAGGGTGCGATCCTGGAAACCTGGGATCGAGTCCCACGTCGGGCTCCCGGTGCATGGAGCCTGCTTTTCTCTCTCTCTCTCTCTCTCTCTCTCTCCCTCTCCCTGTGTGACTATCATAAATAAGTAAAAATAACAAAAAAAAAAAAACAAAACTCTTTTCAGGATTCTTTTAGTCCATTTGTAGTAAAAAGCCATGTGTGGGGTGTGATTTTCTTTTAGACATTTCTGTCAGACCTCAGGGCTTGATGGTTACTACTAGACCTTTTAGCAAGAATGCAAAGCATTGTGCAATCCTTTGTAGTAGAATCTTATCTCCATTCCTGTTTTCACTTTCTGTCCTTCCCCTGTACCCCACGTGGTTTACTTCATCCTAATTGAAAGTGTCTAGTGGACAGTGACACAACTGGTAGGTGATTCTTGGACCAGAGTGCTGGGTAGTAACATGATTTGCCATGTGAAAAGTAACTTTTAATGCAATCTATACCATCTTTAGTAGCTTATAATCATTCGCAAGCAACTTTCTCTCTGGCAAGTGGAAGGGCATGTATCTTTTTAATTATTTATTTATTTGAGACAGAGACAAGAGAGAGCAAGCAGAGGGAGGAGCAGAGGCTGATGCCCAAGGAGATACTGTGCTGAGTGCAGAACCTGATACAGGGCTGGATCTTATGACCCTGACCTGAGCCAAAATCAAGAGTCAGAGGCTTAATTGATAGAGCTACCCAGGTCCCCCCAAAAGGGCATGTATCTGTAAAAATAAAAATAAAATACAGAAGGTATGTATTAAAAAATATTTCCCTGTCCTTTTTCTCATCTTTCTCTCTACATTGACTTAGAAACATAGATAATGTTAGAAGTGGGAGAACTGAACATTAATCTTAAAAATAAACAATTGGGGCACCTGGGTGGCTCAGTCAGTTGAGTTTCTGATTCTTGATTTTGGCTCAAGTCATGATTTCAGGGTCATGAGATTGAGCCCTGTGTAGGACTCCATGCTGGGTGTGAAGCCTGCTTGAAGTTCTCTCTCTCCTACCACCTGTGCCCCTCCTTTCCACTGCTCATTTGCTCTCTTTCTCTCTAAAAATATAAAAGAAAGAAAGAAAACAGAGACAAAGAAAGAAATGATTATTACCAGTTGACTTTTCCTAAGAGAAAAATTGGAAATTAAGGAAATTGAAAAACTTGCTTAATGTCACATAGCAGATAATGGTGGGACCAGGGCTCATGTCTGCCTACCTGACGTGCTTCATCTATGTGAGCCTTTAACTGATGTCAACAATTTCCAAACTTTTAGAAGAGATGGGCTTAAGCAAAGCCTATAGAGAAGTGAACATACTTTCTTCACCTGCAGTTCAGTGAGTTGAAGCTAACTAATTGGCCCCAAAGCATGTGTTTGCCCTCGGACCATCTGAATGAGGTAGCTCATTGGACATCCTTTGGGACTGGGTTGGGTGTAATGGTTTTCCTGGAGTTCTTGAGGCTAGAAGCCTACCTTAGGCATATGCAAACTTATGTGGTAATTGCCATAAATATACAATGCCATTAGAAGAAAAGTTACCTCATATGTTTTCCAAAAGAGCAACTCTGGGAAGAGAGGTAGCTTCAGAGGCATTTCTCTCTCAGAGTGCAGGAATAAGCTTCATCTATAAAGTTCTGAGAAACTGAATTAAGAAACTTCTCTTCTTTATGACCGTCTCTTCTGCTCCAATCCAAACCTTGCTGTTTTTGTGTAACCTAGTGCTTATGGGGAGGAAGTGTGATGTTTGGCCACATGCAGAGTCTGCTTTCTCCATAAACTTTCTACACCACATAACCTCTTGTGATAAAAAACATTGATAAATATCAATGAAGTATAGTTTGCATGTTTTATCCAGGCTTCATATGATTCACCTTCTAAGTAAATTGAAGTTGAAAATATGAAAAAAATTATTATATTGAAAGTCATCTGTTTCCTCATTAAACAAAGAGGTAAGTTTTTCAGCTTATCTGAAATAATTTCTTCACGTTACCTCTTCAAGACTGATCTGATGGAATCTATACTCAGAGTATCTTATAACAAATGAGGAAGTTCTTGGACAGTAATTTCCACCCATGAAGGGTTGAGGTGATCCAGAGTTCCCAAGCCTTTCCTGCCCTCTGTACAATCTTTACTACCTTTCAAATAATCTCCGCTTAATGTAGGGGTGGGATGGAGCAATAAACTGCACCATGGCATTGAGGCCAACTTAGCAAAAGTTTCTATCTTGGGGGGGTTCCCTAATTTGAAAGTTATAGGTCAGTGGTGATGCTTCGAGGATAGGGTATAAGATAGGAGTGCATTTTGTATACATTTGGGTTTTTAAGACCTTTGTTAACCCCTTGCTCATGACCCAAAACTGCAACTTCTGTCTGGTTTTGGGGCAAAAGATTGTGTGGTGGGTCAGGGAAAAAGAAGCTGAACTCTCTGATGAAAACTTGGATTAAATGACGCTCTCCAATGTTTTTTACTTACTTCCCTCTATATGTCTTTTGTGTCTTATCCTCTGACTGTTCTTTCCCTGGTGTCTGCTCACTTTCACTCTCCTCTCCCCTGCTTTGACTATATTCTGTCTTTGCCCTGTCTTCCTCTTTGCTATTATTCATTTGGGTATCTAGTTTTCCTTTTACCTCACCATGCAGTTTGCAGAATCTGATTTTTGGAGTCAGGACAGGGA